TGATGAAAAGTTGAAAAAAAACTCACCTAAAAAGATAGATGAAATTTTGAAATAGAGAAGGAGTATCAAAAGAAAATTGTGAAGAGACTTGTAGTTGGCCAACACTATTATCAATTCATAATACGGCATTAACATTTATTTCAGCCATGAATTGGAGAATTAAAAGACATGTGAAGGAAATATGAACAAAAATAGAAAGAAAAAAAACATATCTAAAATTAATTGTAACACCCAATTGACAAGACGAAAAAACTAGAACAATATAATTATCCTTCCTCTTCTTTAAAATATACAAACAATAATCCGTGCAGATAATACTTTAGGGTGGTATGACTAGTAAATGTGAAGACAAATGAGAATTTCATTTTAAAGATTATTTTGACTATTATCTTTGTCACGATCCAGACCGTCGTGATTGGCACCCACACTAACCCTCCGATGGAAGAACCATTACTACAACCCATCTACACAACTTAACGAAAACTAGAACATTTAAAGATACGGAAGCAAGTTTAAATGTAGAAATAAACTGGAGTTCCCATAAACTCTGAAAGTTCAACAAACCATTACTAAAATTTGCGGAAACAACACCTAGAACCTAAAAGTCAATGTACCAAAACTCTAAAGTTCAACAAGTCTAAGAAAATGAGGTACAACCCTGAAATTAAACAAACGAATATCTAAAGTACTAATCTAAGTCCAAAGAAAATGGACTAAGCAAAAGGAGAACTCATGGCAGCCTAGAAGAACTGGTTCACCCTTGAATTCGGTCTCGATCACTGATCTCCTAGGTCTATCAGTAGCCTCCTAAAGATGCTTTGTACTCAACAAAGAACGAGCAAGTGCAATATCAGTACACAACCACAATGTACTGATAGGATCACGCGGTTATTCCAGTAAGCGAAACATACATAAGCAGTCACAACATAGTAAACATGACATGTACATAACATATATACACATTGGTTATCATTTCAGGAGCAATGTACAATTACACATTCTCTATAACAAGTAGATATGACAATTCAATTGTCCTCTCATGGAACCCATACCCAAATTGTTAGTGTGCCGGAACGTTACACCCGATCCTAATTAGTGTGTTGGAACGTGACACCTGCTATAATATAAGTGTCGGAACATGACACCCGATCCTAGTTAGTGTGTCGGAACGTGACACCCAATCCATTCAACACAACCACAATCACAATCACACTCATATGTACATACTCATAATCATACAATCAAGTGTTGAATCATGACATACATTTGTTCATTCATACTCATTTCATTAGGTTTGATCAACAAGGCTTCACTCACATACATAAATGCATTACGATGAAGCAATTACCAACATACATCACGCAAAACATGAAATCAAACCATCACATACCTCGAAACCAAGTTTGAATCCCCCTAAGGCACTTGAATCTTCCCTTTCCGGATTCTCTCAGCTTGTTTTAGGTCTACAAACAATTAATATGACGCGAGCAATAAATTAAGGTCTAAATACCCGAATTATAACAAACCCAAGACCAAACCCATGATCCTAAGGTGCAGCTAGGGATTTTCTCCCACCATCAATTCCGTCTAAATTAACCTCTCCCCCAATAATAAATTCCCATGAATCTAAATTCTACGGATCGAAAAAATGGATTAGGGGAGTAAAATCCTTACCTTTAGCACCAAAAGTCGTGGAAAACTGTTAAGAAATCGCATGGGATCGTCTCTAAGCTCTCAAGAACGAAACATGAAGAAAAATAACGTTTTTGGGGTTTTCCCCCGACTTAATTCGTGATTGAGCCAATCGGCGGACCCCATCCCGCCACAACGGCTTACACGGAGATAGAGAGTCGAAATTTGAGTTCCAAACTGTCATTTCACAATACACCTTCAACTCATGACATTCAAAACCTACTCGTTCACGCTAAGGTCAGTTTCGGGAGTTCTACTCTCCCGAATTCGATCTTGTAAAGTCGTAAGGGTATCTTAACGTCTTAGCTATCTACTCATGTGGTCAAATTCATAATTAGATCCCCCATGCATTACCAGATTTCCCTAGACCTCACTGACTCAGATTTCGTCCAAATCTGGACTAGACTAGGAATTTTCAAGTCACTACTCAAAAGTTTTCTTTCCTCATTGACTTTCCCATAACGACGGTAATAGGTCGTTACAATCATTTTTTTATTTTAGTTAGTTATTACTTCTTTCAAATAGTAATTATAATACTTTTTTCTATATTAATAACTATTAATACCTTTCTCGAATAATAATTATAATATTATTTTCTATATTATTGATTATCTATTAAAATTTATTTGTAAAATTATCAAAAAAATTACTTTTACTTATTTTCTTAGTAATAAATTATAGACTGAAGTCATCGAGGGCCTTTTAAAGTTGTCCGCATAATTCATTTAGACACCTTATCTTATACTTGTTCCAATTGAACACCTTATGTGTTCAAAAATGATTCCTACTAGACACAAAATGTTGACATGACAAAAAAAGTGTATTTAATTCTCCTTAAGCGCGTAAAGCCATTAGAAATAATATTTTTTTCTTTTTCTTTTTCTTTTTCTTTTTAACTTAAACACCTGTATTAATATAAATAATAATAAGTTTTTTCTTCAAAAAAAATTCTTCTCAATTCTCCACCATCTTCCTCACTGTAATTGTTCCATTCATCTCTTTTATATAGACCCACCCCCTCCACCTCTCTCTTACCCTCTCAAATTCTTCTCCTACTTTTTCCTTCTTCTTTTTATATGTAGGTCTAATTAAAATTACAAATATTTCGATGAAGCTTTATTGTTTTCGAATATAATAATACTTTAGCGAATCAATTAATTATTTTTTCTGCAAGAAATATTATCTTTTCTTGTAATTGTGATAAATGATTACTAGTGGAAAGAAGATGAAGACAACGACTGTAAGATTTTCATGCTACAAGAATGAAAGGTGAATGAGGGGTTAGCTTAGATGAACAACAATGTTGTATTATGGTAAAAGAGATAAGATTTGATGAAGAAGAAAAAAGGGGTGGAGGCGATGGTTTACTAGCAAGGCACAATGATCCAGTTGAAAGGGAACGAAGAAGAAGAAGCATGGAGGCGATGATTTACCCATGGACGTAAATCAGTGGACAGGGAAATCGAGTTCGGCGGAGAAGAAGAAGGAGGGTGGGTTAATTAAAAATAAAATTTTATTTTCTTTTAATTGTTTTTGGATTATTTAAATAGATTTTTGTAAAGAATCAATCCAATCTCCACGTGTCAACGTTTCTTTGGTCCATTTGCTATGTATAATCATGTGTTTGATATGCACACATGTTTGTCTTTTTATTCAATATCATTTTGTATCAAATATGTAAAAATTTGTTAAGATTTAAGTATTCAATAAGTATAAATTTAAATTGAAGTGTCTAAATGAAATATGAGAACAACTTTGATGGGGCTACATATGACTTAAGCCTAAATAATAAATAAATTATAAATAAAATTGAATATAAATGACATGTGATTTCTTGCTTCATGCCCACCTTTTAAAACAAAGCTAAGGGTGTATTTGGTATGATCCAATTTTCTCATGTTTGGTTGAGTTAAATGTTTTGGAAAATGATTTCCAAATCAACTCATTTTCCTCAAATTTAAGGAAAATTACTTGATCCCTTCAAAACTTAAAGAAAATATTTTCCAAAACTCTCTTCCAACTTCAAATTACAATATTTTTTTTTGTTGAAAAAATCAATTTATTTTGTCCTTACCCTCAACCCCCCCCCCCTCCCAACCAACCCCATAAAAAAATAATTTAAAGCTTGTTTTTTAAAAATGTTTTTAACTTCAATTTTTTTACCCCCCCATCCTCACCCCTAACCCAGCCCTCTACCACCACCCCCAAAAAAATATAATAAAAATTATTTTTAAAAGATATTTCTAATTTAATTTTTTTATTTTTTTATCCCCCACCTCCTACCACCCACCCCACTACCAGCCTCCCCACCCCCAAAAAAAAATTTAAGTTTTTTTTAAAAAATATTTTCAATTTCAAAAATTCATTTTTTCACCCTATCCTCGAACCCCCCCCCTCCCTCCAACCACCCCCACCCCCCAAAAAAAATTTAAGTTTGTTTAAAAAATATTTTCAACTTCAAAATTTCATTTTTTCGCTCCTACCCTCGAATCCCCCACCCCCTAAAAAAAAATTAGTTTATTTTTAAAAAATATTTTCAACTTTAACATTTTCTTTTTTCACCCTTACCCTCGACCCCCCCACCCATCCACTCCTCACCCCCCAAAAAAAAATTTAAGTTTGCTTTTAAAAAATATTTTCAACTTCAAAATTTCATTTTTTCACCCCTACCCTCAACCCTTCTACCCACCCCCAACCCCCCAAAAAAATTTCAAGTTTGTTTTTAAAAATATTTTCAACTTTAATTTTTATTTTTTCACCCCTACCATCGATCCCCCTTCCCCCCACTCCGAAAAAAATTTAGATTTATTTTTAAAAAATATTTTCAATTTCAAAAATTATTTTCTACTCTAGTAAAAATAAAATATATTTCTCAAAAATATTTTTCATTCATAAATCAAACACTAAAAAAAAATTTCAAAAAATATTTTCTACTCATCAATTAATAATAAAAAAATAAATCAAAAATCTACTTATTTTCTAGGAAAACATTTTCCTTTTCTTAACAAAAACACCCTAAAGCTATGATAAATTGAAATGTTATGGTTTTCTGGTCAATTCAAGTAGACGGAAGCTGCTCTGAGTCATCACATACTAATTTGTTTTCCCCGTCGAAGCATCGGTGAAATTGTAAAACATTCCCTCCAACTTGAACTTTCCGGAAATTTCGATATTTGTCTTCCTTCCCCACTCTGCAACTTGTGCTCCAGTCTCTTCAATGGTCCTCTATGATATCTTTTTACTTTCCTTCTTAATTTTGCGAAGCCATCTCTATTGGGTTGACACGTTTTGTTTAATCACAATTTCAGGAAGAACAAGCTTCAAGCAGTAGTAGTAGTACTGGGGCATCATCATCTCAACTACAACCTTCATTAGATGATTGTTTGAAGCTACTCAGAGGAGAAAGGGATGAACAGAGGTTAGCGGGTCTACTTCTTGTTACCAAATTTTGCAGTAAAGATGACCATACAGCCATTCGCAAGGTTTACGATGCCCTAGGACCTCAATTCCTACACCGACTGCTTCGAACTGGTAAATGCTCTTTTTCTTCAGCCAATTTTAGATTGCTAGTTAACTGTTCACAATTTCATTTTCAGTGGTCTCACTCTCATTGCTTTCCATTGGGTTTTTTCCTGCACGCCGTAAAACTGTAGTCAAGTGTCTTTCTTATTCCTTTTTGGGCCAAAGCTGTCAAGCTTGTACTTTTAGAATGCAAGGTTGCTTCCACTCCATCCTCAAATTTGTATGTAGGGTTCATTGTCTTGATTTACCTTAAAATATAAATTACTTACCAGTGTGCGATGAAATGACCCCAATTAGAGTGTTCAAGTAGCTGTTTGGGATTGAGTTGTAATTTATTGGTTGGAATTTTTTAATCTGAAATTGCTTCCTTATAGGAATAGGGAAAGGAAGTGATGTCGGGAGCGATAATCGTGATGCCTACTTGCAATTGTCAATCACAGTTCTTGCAGCATTTTGTAGAGTTCCCCAGATTGCAGCTTCTGAAGAAATGATTAATAAGATTCCTCTCATTCTAGAGACAATATCCAAAGAGTATGTTTTCTACTGAATCTTTCGTTGGCAATTTCAGTTCTGTAGTTGATGATGCTGTTATTAATTGGTGAGAGATTCTTTTAGTAAATGCATGGTTGGTTCTGTCATCTCTGAAGAAGTTTTCTATTGTGCCGGAGAGCTCATGTGATCCAGTGAGATGTTTGGTGCATTTTCTGGATTACAAGTACAATTGACTTCTCCATTCTCCTTCAAAATGTGTAACACTTAGCATTTTGTTTACTCTTCCAGAGCAGGATCACCTATCATTGAAGACTGCTATGAATATTTGTTTTTGGTCTCAACGGCGAGTGAAGAAGGGGTTCAAACCTTGTACAAATCTGGTGGCTTGAACGTGCTAGCTTCGCAAATGATGATTCTACCCGATGGTATTTAGTTTGATCATCGGAAACATGCTACTTTTCTATGGATCACAGTGGCACCTTTTTGCTTCAAGCTTTCCATTGTCTCTACATAGATTCAACCTGATTTTGTTTCTGAATTTGATCCTTCTTTATTTTTGAATTGTTTTCAGGTTCTCATATGATTGAACTTGCTCTGAGACTTGTGCAAATCATTGTCATTAAGCTACCCTCAGAATATGTTTATTCTGAGCATCCAACTGACCTGTCAATGGTGGTGAGTCTACCAGAACTGAGTCCCTCTGATAAAATCTTTTGGTGCAGTTGTTGGATGCTCAATTTACAGCATACTGTGCGTTTTCATGTATTTCTGTCTACACAAATTTTTGTGCACTAAATTTGTATGTTATATATGTTTGTGGTAGGTGTGTGCAGTGGCAAAGCAGTTTGCTGTACTACAGAATGCACTGAAATTTGAAGCGCTTCACCTCCTATCAACTATCCTGTCCAACAGATATTCTGTATGTTAGTTACTTTATATTAAGCACATGTATCTGTACTTCTGGTGTAATCTGGTCATGTATCCTTACTGGCACACTAGCAACTATATTAAATTTTTTCAAAATCTTCTGTTTTATGATTATCCTTGTTTTGGATAAGCCAATAGACTGATTCATTTGTCGTTATCAGTACCATATTTACTAGCAGTCCCTTCTCGATCTGGCAGCCTCTCTAGCTTTGTTCTTTATAATGTCTAGAAATGTTCATAATATTTGTATTTATCATTCATATTAAAAAAGCTTTTGAAATGAATGTCTTAGAAATGCTCGTATATCCTTAGGAATAGAATTGTAAAAGAATAAAGTTGAAAAAGTCAATCAAAATGTATGGTTGTATATGTAGAGTGAAAATTGATAGATAAACTGATTGATGTAGCACATTCCTACTTATTGGGATATGCTCTTAGTGATCTTTTACAATATATAGTTGACCTTTTGAAGAAGGTTTGATACATTTTATCTTGCATTCAGTCACAAGTTCCGTGTTTTCCTTGAACCCCATGTATGCTCCTTTTTCATGTCTCTATTGTTTGGAATCTCACTGACCTTTACACACAATTTACAGGCACCTGTATATGATGCTCTTCGCTTAATGGAAAATGACGTTTGGTCAACAAATTTGCGGATTGGTATTGTGGCTATCTTGCAAAATCGAGTTGGTATGTTAACATTAATGTATAAATATATTTCTTTGTCCTTTTTGCATAAATTCGTCAACTTAAATATAGTACAATGTTTTTCATTTTCTCCTGTGAAAATGATTTTTGTTACTTTAAGAGAATATGTGAGTGAATGTAGAGGCCTAGCACATCTATAAGATGAGTGTCGTAGAAATGCTGATGTTGAGATAAATTGTACTCAGAGATTAGTGAAAATCATAATTATCATATCAGACAGAGGGTGCAAGTAGTCACTAGTCACATAGAGGATAAATGAGAGTAGGTCGCATGAGATGATTTGACCATGTCTTACATAGTGCATTTTCCATAGGTGTAAAATTGTGATGATTGAAGTTGCTAAGAGGGGATGAGTTAGATCCAAAATCATGTGGACTAAAGTTTCGTCAAAAGACCTACCATCTCTTGGAATCAATATGGGTTTAGGTAATAATAGAACACATGGAAGCAAATGATCATTTCTAAAGTCGCCTGAGCTACTTTTAAATGGATTTCTTGCTTGGTTTTTGGATCAAAATTAGCCATGCTTTGGTTAAAGTGTATAGATCCTCTCTTTATTGATTATGACTAAATTAAATCCACCAAAAATGGGATTTGATTGTAGTCTGTTCAGTAGAAGCCTAAGTTGCTCGGACCCTTCACTTTTTGTGCCGCACTTGTGTCGACACGACATGGGTGTGGGATTTGTGTCCGATTTGGTCAATCAATTTTGGGTACTTTGACCAAAATCAATGGGGAAAGTCTGGACATTAATGATTTCTGTAATCAAATACAAAACTAAGGTGAAGTTGAAGAAAATGGAATACCTTTTATATAGAAGTTTCTATGTCACTTCTTTTCCTTTGATCTCCTTACAGGATTCTCCTCAAGTTCTCCACGTAATATCTCGTAATATCTCATAATTTAGGTTTTATAACTCTATTTTTAGATATTTTAATTATTTTTAGGCAAATCCTCTCACCCATCCATATATGGATCCATATCCCCCAATCTTAAAAATTAGATCCTTTAATTAGATCATGAAGGATCTGACCTCTGGATGGGACACCCGCACCCGAGTCCGAGCAACTTAGGTAGAAGCAAGGATGACTCGATAGAATATATGATCTAAAACAACTATTGTGAGTAGGCTTTAAATTTGTTTAATAATTTTCTTATAAATTTTGAAGGCAAAGGGATCAACAGCCAGAAGATTAGAATCCAATGCCTTAGTTTACTTTATTTTTGGTGTAAACAGGATGTGGTAGGGGATACGGTAGACATAGTTGACTTCATAGGTTACTTGTAAAGTTTTTCGTTGAGTAGTCTTCACTGTGGAAAGTGCACACACCAGGTGTGAATTGTAAAATGTTCCTCATTATCTTTTGTTGATGAGTTTTTTGTGAATACAAAATTACGTTTACTCAATTTTTTTTCTTAGATAATTTGAAGTTTATTCGTATAGATTCTTAAAATGCCAAATGAAGTAGTTGATCATATATTTATAATCAATTTCTTTTTCTCATTGACATGATAGCCAATTTGTGTAATATTTCTTGAGATGTTGATAAGTAAGATTTTATTAATTTTTGTTTTGAAAAGTTTTAATTGAGTTAACTATTATAGAAATTGTTGAAATTATATATAAGCAAAGTAGATATTATCGAAACTAAACGTTGTATTATTTATTTAACACTTGTGCCAGTAACAGAGATTTATGTTATGAACCAACTGTTGTATTAGTTATGCAGAATTGTATTTTGGGATTAACTGGACTAATAAACCATCCCTCAATGTTTAAGGTCAAATGTGCTTAATGAGTAGGCCCTACTATCATAAGGTTAAGTTTTATTTTCATTTGTTTTGTTGTCCCTTCCATTTGACGTTGCTCTATATTTTTAGAGAAAAAATATTTGTTGAGTTGTTGTAGCTGGGGAGTATATCACTGATATTCTTGTTCATTAACTGTTGTGTAAAACTTTCCAGTCGCCTTCTCAATGGTATATGAGCTTAATCGCATCAGTAATGACTATCCCATGCTTCCTAAGTCGGGAATTTTCCCATTTCAGTGAAATTGTGCATGATTTTGGTCAATATTAAGTTGCTTTGAGGTCCTTCTGTGTTTTGTGCTCTTTTTTTTTTTTTGTAATTCTCCTTTCTCCTCATTTCTATGCAGCACCTTCACATAAACTTCATGCTCTTGTTCTGGCTGAGTGTGTCATATCAATTGTTGGTGAACGGTGGCTTATTGGGGAGATGAACTTAACTGGTTCTCAGGTTTCCCTGCCTGCTGACAGGTAAAGCAGAATTTCATGGTGTTGAATTTGTCTTTCTCTTGCTTTAACTTGCCTCCTCCCTGGCTTTTCTTTGAGTTTGAACGCGGAAAGCACTAAGTGTCTGCATTTTTTAGGTGCATTCTGCTTATTTTGGAGTCGTCAAGGATTGAAATTGCTGTTCTTCTAAATGATCTGGCATGCTTAAAATATGATGCCTCCAACGCATCCTCAAATAGAGAGAACATTCTTGTGAAGCAGAGGAATCTTGGTGTAGCCTTCTCTTTGGTTGAAAAAATAATTAAACTTATTTCTAGTTTTGGTGGAGAAGGTGTGTGACAATATTTGTGGTACAAAAACATTTCTTATATTTTTAATACTTTTCAGAAAAATATTACTGAAAAGATTAACATGTAACATGATTTATGCTGTAATAGTTAAAATTTTAAAAACTAAGGTCATCTCCACTTGCACTACCCTTTATCGTTAATATTTGTCAAATAGGGAGCCTGATCTGGGACAGAGGGTGTGTTTCATTTGCATGTTATGCTTTGCTGTTATTTCTTGATCAGTAAAGAGAGATGTTAGGAGGTGACTTATGAGCTGATTATTTAATGAAAATCATTTGCAGAGTCAACTGCCAATGCTATTATCAGTGAGAACACTTTCACAAAAATCATTTCTGGGCTCAATGAGACAATTGGTGTTGTTTTGGACTATATACGAGATGCTAAGGTACTATTGTCCATCAGTACATAGGAGAACAATTATAGCAAGTCTGCTCATGCAATAATGATTCTTCACAGGAGCATGGACAGATGAAAGGGGATGATCTTCTAGCAGCAGTGCGAGTAATCGGAAGGTATGAATCCCACCTTTCCTTCTGTGTGCATGTTGCAAAAAGAAGTAAAAAAAGTCGGTCTGCATAAAAATAGTCCCTGAGAGAACTGTCGGTTTTGGCACAGTAGTTAATATCCACCATACCTATCCTTATAGGTGATATTCTTAGAGAAAATAAAGCCTTCCAATGAACAGATTTAGCAAAATCCATGCTAGATAGCTTTCTAGTTTTTCGTTCTTAAAATTGGAATCAATTGCTCCTTCTGCTTGTGTTTGACGGCCTTCTTGTTCTTGTTCTTTTCAATGCTTTTCTGCTATTTACTTGCACTTGTTTCTCTTTTCTTTGGATGTATTGGGTCATAATCATATCTGCTGACAAGCTTTTTTCCTTATTTCATTGTTCATTCAAATAGGAAATTCTTTTACTTCCAATTCAACTTCTTGTTGTAAATGGATGCAATTGCATATCTGTACATTGCAGATGACTTGAACTCTACAAGTCCTTGTTTCATATGCTAGCTGGAGAGTTGTAGATTTCCTGCCATCTAGAAATTTGTGAGGAAGTTGAAGTTTAACTGGTTCCAATAAAGGCCTGGTGCCATATTAATGTAATGGGGATTGAATTAGTCACTATCCAAAAATTGGGGAAGTGATGACACCTATGACAACCCCCACCGATAGATAAGCCAACCTAGTCACAATCCCAAAACGAAAAATCAAACATGCGAAAGTAATATTTAAAACCAATAACCAGTGTTTTCAAAAACGTTTTTGGGGCAAGTCTCGGAGCGGGGCGTACCAAAACCGCTCTTGAAGCACAAATTGAAGACGTAGATCAATAGGGCGTAAGTCCTAGAATTTGAGGCGTAAACTCCGAGCGTAAAAACATAAGTTCTGGGCGTAAAAATATACGGCCCGACGTTAATTTTTAATTTTTTTTTTAACCTTTTTTTGCTTTAAATCATTTTTTTTTAATCTTTGGTTCAATGATATTTCTCAAATACTAATTATAATTATTTTTTCTATATTATTGATTATTAATACCTTTCTCAAATAAACCCTCAGGGGTTGGCCTGCTGGCAATTGACTTGAGCCTTGGGGTTTGCTCCCTTTCAAGGTCTCAAGTTCGAAACCCACTAGGTGCAAACAATTTCTGAGGGCCATCGGACTGGGTAAAACCTGAATTAACCGTGGTGCACTTGCGGGAAACTCCTTGCCGAGGGCCTGTGCACCCCCGGGATTAGTCGGGGCTCAAAGAGACTCGGACACCCGGTGCAAAATCAAAAAAAAAAAATACCTTTCTCAAATAAAAATCATAATATTTTTTTCTATATTATTAGTTATTTATTAAATTTTATTTGTAAAATCATTGAGACTACACCCCGTAGATCCATGGGACTTACGCCCCGTGTCTCGGGGCTTACGCCTCACCTGTACTGCATAAAAGTCCCGCCTCACGCCCCCGCCTTTTAAACACCAGTCATAACATTATCTTTTTCATAAAAACTCATAACAAGGTGGAAAATCCATCCAAACTCTTCCCAAAACCTGTTGTCACTAGTACAAACCTTAGAGAATTCGAATACAACTCTATAAAGCTCTCTAACATCTGTAAAGAAACAACATAAAATGAAAAGATAGATGAGACAGAGGAAGATTGTGGATCAGCCAGACAACTACCTTGGGATCTTAATAATATGCTCCGGACATGTTGTGAAGGAATTAGGAGAGGTAAGGTAGTAGAGGTCTTGTATATCCCGCGCCAATCTTCTGTCCTGTACTGCGGTTCTGCATAACAAAAGAATCATCAAGAAGTATTATAGATTCCTAGTCCAATAGATTTGATTCCATGAGGGAAATTTTTTATAAGTAATGAATGTCTTTTGTTCTTTCAGCTATCTTGCAGAAGCACCAGATGCATGTAAAGATAAGGTCATAGAACTCCTAGGTTATATGCTCTCAATTGAAGGGGAAGATGAATTGAGGTTTGGCATTGCATTTCTGTTACTGTTTTTCCAAGCGCAAATATTTCTCTCAATCTCTTGAAACTGCAGCTGACATGGTTTCAAATGGCAGTCCTTTTTATTCCATCTGTTTTTTGCTTCCCATGCTGTGTCAAATAACTCTCAAGACTGGAGGATGTAAAATTTTAGCTTCCTCAGGTGCATTTAGAGAAGTGAGTCTCACATTTGTTCTAATTTTTGAAATCAATACAAGCATATTCAGTCTCTATGAACCAATATTTTGTATGATAGCTGGCAAGCCATTAATATGTCCCCTCTTCGTCTCTTGATTTTATGAGGGAATGTATTTAATTTGCAGGTTGTTGGTTACCTCATTGCTTTGATTGACCAAAACAATTTTACATCTGAGGATAATGGTTCTATATTCTTGGCTTGCGATACAATTTTGAATCTTCTTCTAAAGGTAGTTTTCATGCTGTGCTGCAGTACCTTAATTGATGAGTTAGTTATATTTGTGAAATGTTATTGACAATCATGCCTTCTCATGAACAGCAGGAACAAATTGAATTTCCCTCAGATGATCCCAGTTTTATCAGACTTTTAGTAGCATTGTCACGTTGGGCGGGTAATATCTCTAACTCAGATTTTTGCACTTGCCGAGCCTGATCTCCTTATTTCAACTGTTGAAGTTTCTTGGTTTCTTTCCTTTCATATTTCCTGTCTGTAGTAGCATCATCCAAAAAGATGAGCAATTGATACCCATCAGCTTTTAGCGAAGAGGTGTAACCTTTAAATGGCCCTGTCCCTAGCTGCAGTACATTCTGTGCTAATTATAGATTAGATAAAAGAATGCTCAAAGTCTCTCAAAATTGGTAATGTTAAGATGCTGCTTGAAGTCAGTTAATGACTTACTGCTGCTTAATATGATTTGAACCAATGTACTTTCATGTTGAATTTGTTAAAAGCGGGAAAAGGGTCTCTTTGACATAACACAAAGTTGCAATTATGTTCTAATTGCATTATATGCGCAAATAGGCACATAGTTCCAAATATGTTTTGAGTGCCAACATAAATAGCACCATTTTTATGGGTACTTCAAGTCTTGTCTATGAGTTTCATCAAGTCTACACTCGGACAAACTTTGAAGTAGTGGTCATTTGTAGACATGAAAATTTTGTGGGACTCTACAAGAGGTGTTCAATTCTAGTTGAGACTTTACAAGATGTATTCGATTTCAGTTATAATACTTGGACGCTATTCTATCCTAAACCCTAGCTTATGCCTATATGATGGGTATTATATTCCCTTTAAGAGATTCTCGAATATCTCGTCAACTCTTAGGATATTCATAAAGAGATGAAGATATGCCAAAGTCTTTTTGATAATCAAATCATTTAAGAAGATCCACAAATCCTTTCGTGGTGATCAAAGTCCAAATCACCTTAGTTCGACAAATACGCCTCTAATGACCTTTGAATCATGGAGAAATCTTAAATCTTAAGAGAGAAGAATCAAGGGAGGAACAAATTTGTGCCCTTAGTATTTATAATAAAACTATGTTCATATTTTATTTGTGATTGAAATTTATTTTTTTATCACTTTTAAATTTGTTGCAAATAACACATCCTCCTCAGAAGATTCTCAGTGTGTGTGTGATGATCCTGTTCCCATGGATACCTCCTCTCTCTCCCCTACATTCTCCTCCTGAGACCATCAGGGTTTATTCAGAGCTTCTTTAAAGTCCTTTCTTCTCTAACCAGCCTGTTTTTTCTTGTCCCTTTGGCATTTAATTATTGAATTTCCGTTGCTTAAACATAATAGCTCATTCTCTATATTCTTTTATGCTCAATATTTCCGTTTTCCAATAAGCTCATAATTGTTCCATAACTTGCTCCTACGTATGAGAAGTATAGATAGAAAGGCAGAAAAGGAGGTCCCCCTATTAATGAAGCTTTCCAGTTTTGAAACCAAGGGTAACCAACCCTCATTAAAAGCATTCTCTGGCACTATAATAACTGCTCTGAAGGCCCCTGTAACCGCAATAACTGAAATAAAGCAACCAAATTTGTTGAATTTCATGGAGCAGAACAAAGACGTATCCTTGTCTCTGCTTCTCCGTGGCTTGTAAACCCAGCCCTTGAAGTTAGATTCCTTTCTAAGTCTCCGCGACAACCAGAATAGAGCCTCATTGCTTAGTGTCATTTTCTGATGTAAAGCCTAGAGATCTCAATCCATTCATACCATATCTCTCTTAAAGACGATGACTCAGTTATGTCAAAGGACATCCCCCCAGATCTACGATTATCCATGATTGATAGAAGGCTTAAAAAAGAAAAACAAAAGAGGATTGAGAAACTCCAGCAGTCGAATACCACCGGAGAAAGGTAGTTAGAGATCCAAAAGGGGAACCTAGCTGACCACCTCAAAATAGTGCATGAGAGCCTCAATTCATTTTACCATAACATGCACCACTTACTCTAAATTTCATTAGACCTCGACCAGCTTTTCCAGTTGGGAAATTTTGAGTTCCTTCTTTTCTTTTTTATAAATGAACAACCCACACTCTAAGGGCACATTTCAAGGGTACACTAATCTAAACAAGTTTATCTCCCAGATTTTGGCAACAGAATATATCAGAACTGCTAAAACTAAAAGTACCTTTTCTTTTTTCATTATTTTAAATACATAATAGTTCACTTCTTCTTTTTATCAGGAAGTCACTTGTCACTTCTGTACAGATTTTTCTCCCCAAATGAAACTAAACCAAACAATTGATATTAAAATTAACATAGCAAGCTAAATAACCATTTTAATTTAACTCAACGCTTGGGTTAGGTCTTTGGGACATAAGTCATGACCAAGTAATAAAAAGCCTTACTCAGGTGTAGAAAGATAATGTTCTCTAGTTTACTAGAAAGCTGGATTTACAATGAATTGGTGTATGTTTTGCTTGTCCAAATCAACAGTTTGGTCAGGTTTTTGGCACACAAGTCATTGTTGATTCCGACATCAGTGGGCATTAGGGTCCTTGATCTTCTTATATGGTCTTGGGCAATTCTTCCTCATGAGCTAGCTTTTGGGTTGAGTTAGGTCCAAGATTCATTTCTTTATCATGGTATCAGGGCTAGGCCCAACCCGATTCATTATTTCGTTCGAGGTTGAGCCCCCATTTTATATTGTCTGCGCCCTGGATGTCCAGTCCTAGGCTTGCGGGGGGGTATTGAGTCCCACATTGGTGGGCATTAGGGTTCTTGGTCTCCTTATATGGTCTTGGAGACTTGGACAATCCTCTGAGCTAGATTTTAGGGTTGAGTTACGCCCAAGATTCATTTCTTTATCAGTCATGACCAAGCAATGACTGAAAAGCCCTGCTCAAGCGTAGAAAGATTATGCTTTGTAGTCAGCTAGAAAGCTGGATTTCCAATTAATTGGTGTGTTCTTGTCCAGAAAAAGGTAAATTGTGTGCCAACTGCCAAGAAGTAAATTAATCATTAGGGGATCCTAATTCGTATCACATATAGATGACACAAATTCATCTGTTTTTAACTAAACCAATGAAAATATCTACTATCTAGAGCACTAATGTTTGTGTGGACTTCAAAACACAAGTACAGTACTCCTCATTACCAGATCAAAGAAAGTGTCAGCCAGTAATTATTCAATTCAAAAAGAAACAATGATATGGGGAAGTCTTAAACAGGAAACAAAAATTCTTAAATTAGCTTTTATAAAAGAATGTAACCAAAATGTCTTAAGAGCTAGAGCAGAAAAGTGGAACCTTGATCTCTCCAGAAGAAGATCTTTTCTTCTCCTTCTGCCATCTAACAACTATAGATGACTCTGGACCTAATGACAGTTGTATCTGAAAATAGAAGTATCAAAGAGGCCCATAAGGCATCATAATTCCTTACTCCTAATCTTCTACTTCCTCAAAGTAGGAAAAGGTTTCTGTTTAGCGGTGGTTCATTGATGTTTCCATCAAAGTAACTTCTGATGCTTCAAGTCTTAAATCTCAGCTATCCGGCTGTCCCTCCAATATGTGAGATTGTGAAGCTTTTTTGGTTGATCGCATGTGAGCACAAGAAGTAAATATCAAAGGCAAGGGAGGTAGAGCTTGTTGAAATTTATTTTCCATTTTTCCTGTTTCCGTGTGATGCATGTGTTCAACATTACTGGGAGGATTTGTAGATTCTGAGCTGGGTAGAGGGATTCTAAATAAGTAGAGTAAAAGGACGACGATGGCGAGGATTGAGTAAAGGGACCAGAATGTGGTGTTTTGTAGAGGAAAGAGGATGAGGGGTATGAGTTGCTTAGTGGGACTATATCTTCGAGCTTGGAGGATCCCTTGAGTGAGTAAGAGTTGCCTAAGTGTAATCATTGTTTTTGAGAACACGAAACAGGAAAAAGAAACAAAGGCGTTCTTTGCTTAAAGAAAGAAGTGAAGCGCAAAGTTTCAGAAGAATATCAAAATGATGCACAAACAAAATAGAATATCTTAATAAACAACTCAGCAAAAATAATACCTATTAGCAAATCCTTCAATTTAAAAGTAAAGAGCTAATAATAATGATGTCGTTATTCCCAGAAGAGAATTGGCTCTTTAAGAAATAAACAGTGATAATGAATTATTTTGTAGGGATGTCAGAGAAACCTTAACGAAATTCTGGCTTCATAATCTTCTGGGTGGATTTCTGACTTTATTTGCCAATAATTCCAGAGCGTGTTATTGTCAATTTGAAATATATTTATGTTAAAATAAAGAAGACCCGTACCTGAGTAACATACTGTTCCTCCATGTCATCACTAATTTTTCAGTTATTTGTGACCACCAAGAATATAGCACATTTTTGTATCTATAAATTACTGGTACTAACAAATTGCACTAGAGGTGGTAGATGCTTGGCTTCTGTCTCTTGAGACATACTGTCTCAACTATCTTTCACTTAAGTTGGCTTTTGGTTGCTTTCCAAAGGTTGCTTAAATTTATATATTTGCATTCCAGAGGGTATGGATGATGCATCTATTATCATGATGGCATCAAGCATCTGTTCGCTTATACTCGATTTGACATCAGAGGAAGCTCTTCTAAATCATCCAGACTTCACTAGTGGCGATATTGGTAATCTGTCAAAGCTCATTAGACGAAGCTTTGTGATGTGTGGTCAGGTAATTCACTGGCTTATGCTTCAACTGTTCTGTTGTTGCCTAAATTGACTGATAGCTTTTTCATAGTTTGGGATTACTCATAAGCAATCTCATCATCTGATCTTCCCCACCCTCCCCTTCACCCCATTTAAAATGGACGTGACAAAATAAACATGCCAAAGAAATGATCTTTAACTGTGTTTTTGATACTCCAGTTGACAAATTATTGTTCTGACTGCACTCAGGACTTGATATCCGATGATGCTAAAGCTGAAGTAGATCTTTTTCAGATAATTACCTCAGGTTCGTAGTTCTCTTGCGTCATTTGCTTTACTTCATGAAGGTCTAAATGTTAATAAATCAAATCTCGGTCATCAAGTCGGATTGTATTTTGGGTCTAAATCCTGTCTATTCAAGGATTCTACAAAGATGTCAGTTCACCACCACTCCATTTACTTTTATCGCTTATGATGTTGTTACGGCGACTCACCATTATCAACTATCACCATCCAGAACCCAGGGGCAGATTTTCACGGAGGGGCACAGTTTCATGTGAACCCAATATGGAACCCAGGCACAAGAGTGCACCTTGGCCCATTGGTGACATTGTGCACCATTGCATACCAGGTCTTGGGATCGAATCCTTCTGGCCATATTGTTTTTTAAGTCTTGTCTTTTCTGATTCTCTTTTTCTTTCCTTTTCTTCATTTTCTTTTTTGGCACCTTTGCTGTTCTAACCGCGTTTTCTTTTTTCTCTGTTTTTCCCTCCTTTTTTGGTTACCTAACTATTTCTTCTTTTTTGTATCTACTTTCTGTTATGTTTCTCTTCTTTTTTTTCCAGTCCTTTTCTCTTTTTGTCATTTCTTTCTTTTCTTTTTGGTTCATTCTTCAAGTTTCAATTTTTTCTCTTCCTTTTTGGTTCCTGATTTACTGATCGTTTTTTGTCATTTCTTTCTTTTCATTTTTACTTCATTCTTTCCATTTCAGAAGTCCCTGAAAAATCGAAAAGAAAAAAAAAACCTCCGGACTTCTCTCTCCGCATCTGTTTTAAGCAACAATTTTACGACTAATGAGCACACTTCTCCTAGTTTCTTATCATATCTTTCTTATATCTTTTCTTTCAGTATTTTTTTCTTAATTTGTGAAGTAAATATTTTTGGATAATAATGCTATTAATGATCGCTTTTAAATATGAAAATTTGTTAAGACCAATTATAAATTGAACGACACCTTTTTTTGTGATGACAAAATTTTATGGAATCGGACCAAATGATGGTGTAAAAGCAGTCATCCTCTAAAAATCCTGGATACGTCTTTGTCCACCACCACTATGCAACCGAGCACCCATAGTCGGTTGTCACCACAACTAGCTACTATTTATAATTATCACCGCTAGCACCACTACCAGTTCCATATATCGCTATCATTAACTATCAATATATATCGTCCATCACCTTCGCCATTCATTACCACATTATCTATAAGTATTATCTACCACAATTATCAATTGCCACTAACAACTACCACCGTTGTTATCTACTACTGCTAGCCACCATCACCGCTTGCTACAAGCCATGGCCACCATCATCCTCAATTGACACCCACAACCATCACCGCAGGCCATCTCCATCATCAACCTCCATACAAGTTTTATTTTTTTTTGTTGATATGGTTAATAAGGCCTAATATTTCAATGTTTTACTCTTTTTTCTTAGCTTTGAAAAGGTTGAGAATTATTCTATTTGTGTTGTCTGAATTTGGTGTAGCATATTCATCATGGGCTGATCGGTTTCCTAGCATTAAACAAGCTGTGGAGAGCTCAGGGCCTTTTGGATTTCGATGTGTTTCATAGGACTCTTGGAAATTGGGGCACTGATCAATTGAGTTATAGTACACCTTGGATGAAGGGTATTGTCTTACTGCAATCACTCATGGCATTTCGTTCCTGCATTTTGGGATTCCCATGGCTCAAGGAATCTGGAGAAGTAACAGTTATATTTATCGCCAGCTTTGCAGTAAAAAGACATTAGTATTGGCATCTTGTGAGGGGGAATACAGTTAAACATTTCGGATGGACTCGAGCTTTTCCTAACATCTATATGGCAAGCTACTAGTCTTTTCTGTTGCTTGCAGGATGTGGTTCATCACATAGTATTGGAAGCAAGTTGCTTAAATTAGTTTGTTACTACTATTTCCTTATGTAAGTCTGTTAATTACATCTCTCCATCGAATGTGCTTGGGTGAGACACTTCATATCATGTGCCAAAAGGAATCTTTAATGTACCTTCCAAAATAGTTCATGTTCAATCATTATTAGGAAAACAAGTATAATGTGCTGGTTCGACCCATGTGACCATAATGTATCTACTACTATCTCCCTTCGTTTCAATTCGTTTTTCTTATTTAATTCTTCTACTTCATTTTTAAAAATGGCATTTTCTTTGATAATTTTTTAATTTTTAAATGGAGGGAGTAGTACAATATTTGCCTTTTGGTCCCTGGCCAAGAAAATAGTCTTGAAATACTAAAAATTGTTTTATCCTTTTTCAACTTCAACTATTTGTTTGGGTGGGTTGTTACTTATTGTATTGTGTTCAGCAGTGAACGCATAATTTTTTTTGTAAAAGTATTCGGCTTTATTAGTTTGCACTTAATGGAGGTTTGAATCTCAGACATTAGGCTATTAAGTGCGGTTGTTTTTTCTACTTTAAAATGTCTGAAGGGGTATATTAAATTTGTGAGTCTCTTATTCTCATCAGATTCTTTAAACGAAATTTTTATTTTCAGAAAAAAATATCTTCCTTAATTTCTCTTCAGAAAAAACTCAAGTTTCTCAACTTTATTAGTTATACAAATTATTTTCTAAACTTTTAATATTTGTTGTTCCTGCTTGTTTATCAAGAATTGATAAATTTTACTGTAAAAACTTTATTTGATTAAAGTTCAAAGTAACTTTATAAATATGTGTCGTTGAAATTGGATGATGATGTTTTTATTTTATAGAAGAGTACATGGGCAAACAAACATAGGGATGTTTCAGTTATTTCTTTGAGATTAATTTGTGTTGAATTTTTATTTTATTTTTTAAAAACATTTTTCTAATAATTATTTTATTATTATAGTTTATATATGTAGTTCATGTAGTTCAATTTATTTTTATCAAACTTGAAATATTTATATATAATTTAAATATCTTAACATTTATCAAAGAATGACTTTTTAAAAATATTTTGTTAACGTATGTAATATTTAACTATTATTTTATTTGAATTAAGATATATATAATCATTCAGATGTGCATTTAGATTTAGACTTCTTAATCTTAATGAAAAATCACACTATATATAGAGCAACTTTCACACACACACACACTATATATAGAGCAACTTTCACATATAACAAACATAAAAATCATATATGTATGTTATAACTATAGTTTGTATAATTGTGCTCCATAACAAACTTTATGTTTGCTATGGAGCATCAGATTGTATAACTCGCTGGCAGGAGCTTCAAATTTGTATAATTTCACTGGCAGACCATTTGTATAAATCGCTGACAGTCTCTCAATTCAATTTTATGTGTTTGTCTATCTGCATAAAATTTGAATTTGTATACAATTGAATCAATAAAACATTTGTATATCAAATTTATCTCTCTCTTGATTTATACAACACAAATTATACATTGTAATTTGTATAATCATTGTTGTATAAAGCGAGAAAGAGAGAAAGGCAAAAGAGAACTGGCAGGGGAAGATCTATATTTGTATAATTATAAGTGTATAGAACGAAAATATATGTATTTGTATTTGTATTTGTATATACAGTTTTTCCTCACTTTATAGTTACACAAATGCATTTTATACATTTGTGTTTGTAAAAAACGAGAGAGACAAGGGAGAGATTGGCGAGAGCGGCTAGTGAAAAACCTAGGGAGAGAGGCGAATGACAATTGTTTGCTACGGGTTACAATTAAATCAAACTATAATTATAGCATTTAATTTGAATTAATAGTTTGTTGTTTATACAATTTTACACACACTAGGACAAGGGTAACCCGTGCTGTGCACGAGCCCAATATTTATTCATAACTTTATTTTTAAGTGGTAATTAAATTATCACATTAAGTGTAAAATAAATATTTATAAATATTATTAATATTGATAAATTTTAAATGATATTGATTAAATAATTTTAAAATTTGCTTTAAAATAAATTATAATATATATTTATGTAGGAATAAATCATCTCATTCTTTTGTCGCGCAAATCTATTGTGAAGAGGACCATTGAGATATCCATAGTTAAAGTATTTTTCTCCATCAATCGTTAATTTTTTACTCAAAATATTTAGAAAATAGACACAATATTATCAAAGGCGGAATGACCTGGGAGACCGTCGTACTTGGCTAAGTTTGTCACCTAGACCCTTCTACTCATCAATTTGCCAACCGAGCACTTAAAGTTATTAAAACACATCATTTTAAACCCCTCTGAGTATGAGTGTCTCTCAATCACACTGATGTGGATGACACGTCATTATCCACATCAGATAAAAATTGTCAGATAGACAAAAATTGCCATATCATTTTTATCATTACAAATAATTTTTTAAAAAAAGAAAAATCTCATATTCATCTTCAAAATCAGCCTTTTGAAATTGATTCACCGGAAAAAATGTCTCTCCGGCCACTTCATTAACAGATAGCCACTGTTGAGGCAGTCATTGCCGCCGACGAATTGTTTGGCCGAAAGATCCATCAAAATTGAAAGTGGAGAAAATTTTAATCCTTCTAGAGTTTTATTTTTTTTCTCTCTTCTAAACTTTTTCATCTATTTGTCATTTCAATCTTGTTTTCTCTTATTTGTTTCTTGTCCCTTTTATTCTCCGTAAATTTCTTGTGTTAGAAAGAGGAAAACAAAAAATAACTATCATAGAAAAAGGGTGGAGAAAGATAAATGAAGTGGGGGAGAGAGGAGGGGGAGGGGCAACGATGATGGTGGCAGTGGTAACTTATGAGGAAGAAGAAGAAGAAGAGTACCAGTAAAGGAATGGGGAAGAAGCCAAGAAGGGGATCTTTTCTCTTCTTTTTTTCACTATATAATTTTTTTTATTTCAATATTTTTTAATTAATTTTTTTGTCTTCACTTGCTTTTAAACGCGTGTAACCACACATTTAATCCCATTCAACAAATAAAACGCCACATAAGCTTGGTCAACAGTAAGATGGGTTTAAAATAACGCGTTTTAATCACTTGAAGTGTTTAGTTGACAAACTCGTGAGTAGAAGGATACAAGTGACAAATAGAGCCAACTTCAGGGGTCTCTCAGGTCATTCCACCTATTATCAACATTCAAAATAATAAAGTTATGACTAAAAGATATGAAGTTAAAGTTAAAAATCATAGCTAGTGGTCCCATAATTTTGGAAAGATTATACGCTAATTAAATTAGAACAAAATAGAAGAAACAAGTTTTTTTTTTATATTTTATTTCAAAAAATGTCCTCCTTGAAACACACACGTCGATGGAGATGTTTTAATTATAAATTTAAAACATGTCATATTAATTGGTTGAGGAACTGAGACTTTTTTTTAAAACTTTGGTAGAATTGATTGAAATTATTAGCTAACTTCAATATTTGTTCATAACTTTATTTTTAAGTGGTAATTAAATTATATTAAATTATCTCATTAAGTGTAAAATAAATATCTGTAGATATTATTAATATTGATAAATTTTAAAATTATAATATATATTTATGTAGGAGGAAATCATCTCATTCTTTTATCGCGCAAATCTAACGTGAAGAGGACCATTGAGATATCCATAGTTAAAGTATTTTTCTCCATCAATCGTTAATTTTTTATTCAAAATATTTAGAAAATATACACAATATTATCAAAGGCGGAATGACTTGGGAGACCCTCTTACTTGACTAAGTTTGTCACCTAGACCCTTCTACTCATTAATTTGCCAACCGAGCACTTAAAGTTATTAAAACACGTCATTTTAAACCCCTCTGAGTATGAGTGTCTCTCAATCGCACTGATGTGGATGACACATCATTATCCACATCAGATAAAAATTGTCAGATAGACAAAAATTGCCATATCATTTTTATCATTACAAATAATTTTAAAAAAAAGAAAAATCTCATATTCATCTTCAAAATCAGCCTTTTGAAATTGATTCACCGGAAAAAATGTCTCTCCGGCCACTTCATTAACAAATAGCCACTGTTGAGGCAGTCATTGCCGCCGACGAATTGTTTGGCCGAAAGATCCATCAAAATTGAAAGTGGAGAAAATTTTAATCTTTCTAGAGTTTTATTTTTTTTTCTCTCTTCTAAACTTTTTCATCTATTTGTCATTTCAATCTTGTTTTCTCTTATTTGTTTCTTGTCCCTTTTATTCTCCGTAAATTTCTTGTGTTAGAAAGAGAAAAACAAAAAATAACTATCATAGAAAAAGGGTGGAGAAAGATAAATGAAGTGGGGGAGAGAGGAGGGGGGAGGGCAACGATGATGGTGGCAGTGGTAACTTATGAGGAAGAAGAAGAAGAAGAGTACCAGTAAAGGAATGGGGAAGAAGCCAAGAAGGGGATCTTTTCTCTTCTTTTTTTCACTATATAATTTTTTTTATTTCAATATTTTTTAATTAATTTTTTTGTCTTCACTTGCTTTTAAACGTGTGTAACCACACATTTAATCTCATTCAACAAATAAAACGCCACATAAACTTGATCAATAGTAAGAGGGGTTTAAAATAACGCGTTTTAATCACTTGAAGTGTTCAGTCGACAAATTCGTGAGTAGAAGGGTCCAGGTGACAAATAGAGCCAACTACAGGGGTCTCTCAGGTCATTCCACCTATTATCAACATTCAAAATAATAGTGTTCTTTTTTAAATTTTATTTCAGAATTGTCCTTGAAACACACACATCGA